ACCAGTTCTTTGATAGGAACTGATCTGTGCCTACCAGTTCTTTGAAAGGAACTGATCTGTCCAACCAGTTCTTTGATAGGAACTGATCTGTTCAACTAGTTCTTTGATAGAAACTGATCTGTAACTATGGGTGGGAAGTTATCGTTCCCAGACCGTTCCTGGGAACGGTAATGGTAACGAAAAAGTTCCCAGTCACCGGGAACGGTAACGCCCCGTTCGCAGTTACCTGAGAACGCAGGTAACGGTCAGGGGACTACCTAGCATCATCAATCTCATAGCCTTGGTCCCCACAAACAACTATTGGGGGTACCCTTGTGTCGACAAGTCCCACTATTGGAGATACCGTTGGGTCCTCAAATGCTAGTATTAGCAAATACCTTTGGCTCATCAAGTGCTCGCATAGCTGGGTACACTCAGCCCAACCAGTGCAACTATTACGTGGTACCGTGCGTTCAACCAATGCAAAATTTGCACCAAACCGTTGTGCCGTCAGGATTAATTGCCAGGAAGGGGGTATCCTTGGCCCAACCACCGCAAAAAGTGGCGCGATAACGTGGGCCCAATCTATGCAAATTTTGCACCGAACTGCCATGCCACCAGGTTGAATTGCCAGAAAGGGGGAGGGGGGGTATCCTTGGCCCAACCACCACAAAAAGTGGCGCGGTAATGTGGGCCCAACCTTTGCAAATTTTGCGCCGAACCTTCATGCCATCAGGTTCAATTGCCAAGAAGGAGGTAGCCTTGGTCCTACCACTGCCAGAGCTACGCGGCAGCCTTTGCCCAAACAATGCAAGTGTCGCGTGGTACCCTTGCTCCAACAATTACTGGTGTTGCCAGTATCCTTGGTCCCTGAAGTCTTACTATTGGAGGGCACCCTGACGTCCTGAAGTCAAAGTATTGGGAGGTACTTTTCGGTCCTCCAGGAGGACCCGAGTATATCCCGTAATGCTAGCACTTGGTGGACCAAGGGTAACCCCGAAACGTAACGGTAACTTCTCACCGCTAGGTGTGAATGCTGAGAGAAGACTTATACGCACACACACCAACACCCAACCCAACCCACACAAAACCCATCCCAAACCCACACCCGGTTCTCGAAAGAGAACTGGTCACTTTACCCAGTTCTTCAAAAAGAACTGGTCACTTTTACCCAGTTCTTCAAAAAGAACTGGTCACAATAAGCAGTTCTCGAAAAAGAACTGGTCACAGTAGCCAGTTCTTGAAAAAGAACCGAACGCTTAATCCAGTTCTTCGAAAAAGAACTGGTTGCAATAACCAGTTCTCGAAAAAAGAACTGCCGGGTGTGTACAGTTCTTAGAAAAGAACTGCCGGGTGCACACAGTTCTCGTCAAAGAGCTGGTCACTTTAACCAGTTCTGGAAAAAGAACTGGTCACTATACCCAGTTCTTCGAAAATATACAGTTCATAGAACTGGGGACTGTCCTAGGTCTATCGGAGAGCATTCAAATATGCAAGAGTTAAAAATTCAAAGAAAAATTACGTAAATTGCTAAAAAGTTTTTTCAATACAAAACAACAGAAGCATTTACTGCTTAAGAATAGTGTTTAGTCGAAAAATGATAACATGATTTATGGCAAGAGATAGGGAAGAAACAGATACCGCAAAACATGAGGACAACAATCGACTGGATTCAACTGAATGAACATGAAAAAAATAACTATAAATAAAGATGAATGAATGGTGACTATAATAGCAAGAAAAGAAAATATATTTGATTAAAGATGAAATAAAAAGCACAAAGTAGGGAGGAAAAAAACATATCTTCCAGCAGAGATCGACAAAGATACTATGAAGGTTAAAATAGTTAGGAACAGCTTCTTAGCCGAAATAAATACCATTTAAAACTTATTTCAACTGCTATCTTCTCTTCCAACCAACGATATCTAGTACGCTTTGATTTCTGTTTCCTACACGAAAAAGCTTGTCAACGTAGTCAATGATGGGATTAAATTGTGAAACTGACATATGACGCCTCTTAGGACTACAGAATATATTTTTTGAGTGTGGAACGGTTTCTTCGCGTAAAATGAGACTTCGCTGATCAAGTTTTGAATTTTTTTTATACAGAAAAGCCGATTTGATCACCTCGTTAAATATAGTTTTTCATGCCGATCACGAATCCGGCCCTTGTTGTGAATAAAAGTTGGTTTTTAACCTGTTGAAAATCGGATTTTTCATTTCTGTTTTTCGGGGGTGGAATGCTAACACCCCTTTTCTAATTAACAGGTTTTCTCAAATGAAGTTTAAAAGCTCACCGTTCGATAGCGAATTTAATTCTCTACAAAATAGCTTATCTTTTGGGATATGGATGTGGATATCAGTTGAGAGACAACTAACCCCTGCACCCAAACCCCACACCCACATTCACTATTGTTTTATAATTAGTTCCACAGGAAAACATTCATCAGCGTCATTGTTCCGTTAGAGCCCAGTTGTGTAAAATGATGTTGATGCAAAAGAGGTTTGGCTCATTCGCTTCGACTTGGAAGAAAGTGGTGCTTTCTATCAGTTTATTGCTCATGATGATCAAGGGAAGCATTTGTGTTTCAAGTCCGCTTACACCATTCACTACTTACAATTATTTCACCTCACTTGAAGCCAACGTATCTGACCTATGGTGGAATGTAAACGAAACTAGTCAGGAAATTATATTTGAATTTCATGTTAGAACTACAGGCTGGATTGGATTGGGCATTAGTCCAGGTAAAATTTGGTTGATTCGATCTTTGTATTCTTATTTATTTGATTTCTTTCAGGTGGTGGCATGCCAGGTGCTGATATTGCTCTCGGATGGGTTGATCAGGCAGGTACTGCATATATTCAGGTATGAAAGGTTTTGTCTACTTCCTACAACATCAATCTTTGTTCCTATTCCAAGGATCGTTATGCTTGCAGTTACTCACGACCTATCACGGATAAAACTGAAGTAAATTGGATTCTTCTTCAAGGTCGTGAGATCAATGGTTGGACAGCTATCCAATTCAAACGAATGTTTGACACGTGTGATCCAATGGATGTTCCAATTATGGTATGAACTGGTCATATATTGTTCTCAATAAAAATATCCCTATTAGAATTTAAGAAAAAAATACTTTTGTTCTTGTCATAATATTTTAATAAGTATAAATATAATAGAACACGAACTGAACTCATGAAACATGTTCATTTTAATTGGAAACCACTAGATCAAGATATACAACAGCATGTATTATGTTTCAACAGTTGTAAACTGTTTAGTTACCTAATAGAAACCTTTATGCACGTCTTTCAGGTTTAGTTTCAAACAAAGAAAATATTCCAACTTTTTTCTTTATCAAACAATTCTTTCTGATTATCTTTTTACTATTTTCTAGTCTGGTACCAACAACCTTATTTTTGCCTATGGACTTGACGATCCTGATCTATCACAACCAAACAATGATATTATCTATCATGCAAATCGGCGAGGTTCACGTACACTACCATTACGCTCATATAGCAATCCACCGTCAGCATCTAAATTTGCCACTTTAAATTCAGTTGAATTTCGCTTGGATAATGTTAGCTCCTTTTTATTTCAATCATTTAGTACATTTTCATCTGATTAAGTCTTTTTCAGTATGTTGTTCCATCAGAAGACACAACCTACTATTGTAAAGTGTTCAAGACTCCAACTGGTTTTATAACCAAAAGACATGCTATTGCTGTAAGGGTTTCAGTTTAAGGTTTTATCTTACCTACATTTTATTTTTCAGTACGAGGTCTTGATCGATCCAGTCAATCTCGATATTGTTCATCATCTTCTGTTGTATGAATGTGATCCAACAACCAGTTTCAATGATACAATACTTCCACAAGGATTATGTGATCAAATAGGTATTCAAGTGGCAACGTGTACGGTGAATATAGCTCTCGGATGGGCGGTTGGCGGAAACTTTGTATGATATAAGATCATTATGTATAGCCATTATATTCAGAGCATTTCTATCAATAGCTAGTAGAATATCCGGAAGAAGCTGGCTATCCAATGGGTGCCGATTTTTCTGTAGTATACTACATGATTCAAATGCACTTTAATAATCCAGAAAGAATATCAAGTATGGAATTGTGTCGCGTTTCTATATAAAAAATTAATGTCATTACTGATCTGTTTCTAGATCGGGCCGATAATTCTGGTATTCGATTCTTTCTTGGAGATACACTTCGTCAATATGATATTGGTTACTTAACACTCGGAGTGCTGGCAAATGAAGTGAGTCTAGCCATTCCACCAAATGTCGAACAGTTCAATGTCGACTCATATTGTCCTATGGAAGTGACAGCGGTATGTATTGTAATCTTTGATATTTAAACATATCATGAAATTCAATGTAGAATATTCCAGAATCTGGTATCACTGTCTTTGGAGCCTTTCCACATGCACATTTGCAAGGTAAGCAAGTAATCGGTGAATGAAATATCCTCGCTAGTTTTACTTCTAGGTCGGAGTATTTGGACGAAATTGATTCGAAACGGAACGCCCATTGACTATTTATTCAATGCTCAATCCTTCGATTTCAATTTTCAATTTGAAAATATATTACCAAAACCAATACAATTATATCACGTATGATTTACGCGTATCTTTCTTTTATCTATATCATTACTACCATAGGGCGACGCCTTCTATACCCGATGTGTGTATAATACAATGGGCAAAGAGAATATCACATTGGTAGAGAATACATACTTTTAAGTATCTTCCATCAATTTAGTTTAATCTATTCAGGGTGGTGAATCAACAAGAGAGGAAATGTGTCTTCATATTTTCAGTTATTATCCTCGAATGTCCGATTTGCATCTATGTCTCAATGCTATTGCTCCTCAATCATGGAACATATTGATCAACAATTCATCGTAAGTTATATTTTACATGACTTTGCAAATAAAGAATGAAATCTTCAGCGCAATCTCTGCAGCTTTCAATTGTAAAACACGACGGAGTTGTTTTTATTGTGAACAAACTAAGTATAGACCACGAACATGAGAAATACTATTGATATTTGTCTTGTCGATACTTTGGTTTGCATTCCATCATATCGCTACATACTTCAATAGTGATCATTAGCAGTTATATTTCACAAAAAAAATCAATCAAACAAAACAAATGAACGAATAGTCAGATTTCTGTTCGCTAACAATAGATAAATTTGTATTAGAGAAACTAGAGTTAGAAAGCTTAGCGTAGTTTGAAAATCATTTTGTCGATGGTTATGATCATTTTTACAGTAAGACATTATGTGAAATATGAAATATACTCAAATTTTTTTATTTATTGAAACGATAAAATTTAGAATGACGTTCAATCGTTCGAATCTTATGCGATGGCTACTCCAACTCAAGTGGACAGCTGCATTAGCAATAAAATGGCAAGAATTCTACAATAATGCCTTACGTGTTGTTGCCTATGGTCGAGCAACATATATACAAATAATGGTGGTTGCTTCACCTAAACTTCAAGACTTGGAACCAGTCAAGTGTGCCGGCCACATCGACTCTACAGAAGTGACAGCGGCTTGCAAAACAAATGAGGCTATTCGTCAAACAATATCCATTCTTACTATTACTATTCTTCTAACATTGAAAATTGTCTTTGCAAAAATTGAATGATATTGATATTATAATCATTTAACATCTGTCTATACAAGAAATATGTTGTATACAACGTATCGACTACATAATATAATAAAGTCCAAGATCAAAGAGTAACAGCTTATCTTATCAGTATAGACAAGCATCCTAAACTATTGCAAGAAAAGAATTGCAAGCTCTATCTTATAACTTTGTGAAATGTCATTTTCTACGATCCACTATCAAGAATTTTGACTTTTGAGACGATTCTGGTTAAATCATAAACATTGAAGTGTGGGTGTGGATGAAGAAAAAAAAAGAATACTCCGCACATCTCACAGACACTTAAATCTACATCTTCGAGTTCCCAATGGCGACTTTATGCGGAAGAGTGCCAATTTCAAAGCTAAGCTGCGGCGCAAACTTTAGGTTTCGATTAAAAAAAAACTACATTAATAGTGTTGTTATCGTAATTTGCAACAACATTATCCACTATATCATTGTCGTTAAAATCATTTTCTGTCAGCAAGAATGGTTGACTACTAGTTAAAAATATGGCTTGTGTTCCAAACTTTCCATTACCATACTGTCTGAAAACACTTATACTGTTACTGATAGAGTGACTGACAACAACAATGTTGTTTTAGTGATCGTTAAATTTTCTTATGACTGTATATCAATTTTTACTTAATGAAATATTACATCATCATCACTGGCTTGTTGATTTTATTTTTTCTTCCAATGTCAAAATTTTCTATTAAAATAGTTTTAGTTAATTATATACATTGCTTGATGTAGTCAATCTAATATCAAATTCAACTTTTATTCGACAATTATATATTTATTACGATTCTTTGACTAATACTATATTATGTGGATGAAAATTATTAGTGTGATACTCAAGTAGAATATCAAATTTACTATGTAAATTACTATTATATAGAAATAGGATTCAATTTTATTTTGAAAATTTAATGGCATGTAAACACAGAAGACAAACATATGTAGAAAGTTAATATTTTAATAATTACTCCAAGATTTTTCAGTACTATTAGGTACAGCACATCTAATTATTTGTGACCTATACTCTTTATATGTGGCAATCGATTAATCCAAAATAGTAACCAATCTACTAGTTGAGAAAATTCTTTATCCATATGAATTTGTTTTTAATAACTATTGAAACTTGTTCTTAATTTATGAATTAAATTCCAAATATTTTCTTATTAATATGACACATTCAAATTCTATTGTATGAATTGTGTTAAATAAAGAAAAAAATAAATGACAACACATATTCTTATGAGTTTCATTTTTCAATTCTATCTGTTACTCATCAATAGCTTTGATGGTTATAAGAAAAATCCTATAATTAATCATGCTCATTAATCTTTTTTCGACAATTCTAATCGATTTTAATCAAAGGCAACAAAAGAATTCATTGTGCTAATGAAGAGCCTTCTTATTGTTCTTGTTTTCTGATGAATGCACTCTGTTATTTTTTAGAATTCACATTATGTTTTTTCGGACAAAAATAAAACGAGTATAAGTTTGTAGTCAAAGTTGTGTGCCTTCTCCTCTTTCGTACTCATAGCAACAGAAAGAAGGGAAGATCAATAACTATTGGGTGAATTTCTCTAGCAACTGAGGACAATAGGCGTCAAATACCTTTTTCACAGTTTCTTACTAATGCAAAACGACGATGATTGATAATAACGGCAAAACTTTGACTTTCAAGAAAGTTCTAGAACGTTCCAATTTTTTTCTTTGAATTCGAATGGCTGTAACGCATTTATATATGTTCTAAATAGTGCATTGAGACTTGCTGAAGATATAATGGGTACAATGAACCAGTTTATTTATCAGTTAAATCAATGGAGTAGAATAATAATAATAATAATAATAATAAGAGTATAATAAGGCTAAATAATACATTCAAATTTCATATTTTGGATTCACAGGAGCTGTACTGCAGAGATGTCCATCGCGGCGCTGCCGCGCCGCTGCCGCTGCCGCGGTGGCGGTGGCGGCGCG